GGACGGGGAGATGGAGGGGGGCAGGTGGCAGACGGAGGGGTGCAGGGGATGCAGGGGTGCAGGAGAGAGCTCAGGGGCGAGGGGTGATGAGGATGGATGCAGGGGAGGGAGACAGGCGCAAAGCTGAGTCAGCAAAAGGGGTGCCATGAAGTACGTGGGTGCGTGGGTTGGGTGGGTGAGGAGGCTGCGGGGCTAAGAGGTGGGGGTGCTGGGCGGCGGCGAGGGGGCATGGGGTGCAGCAGGCTGGAGAGTGCTGGCGTAGGGATGGGGTGGCACCTTAACAGGGCCAGGTCGCCCCAAGCTCCTTGACACAAATAAGTTGTGACCGTTGCCAAAAGCAGTTATGGGGCCAACACCAGCAAATGGGCAGAGGGACACAGGTCAGGGAGCCCTGGCTGCACAGGCCCATCAGGTGTCCCGGGTATCATTCCCATGAGGCACCACCACCACCGTGGGTCACTCCTGCATCTTCCCAGGGCCGTGGATGTCCCTCAAGGAGGGGGGGACCCTTGAGTCCCCGGTGGGGAGGGGCAGACACCCCCTCCGGGGTGCACAGGCAGCAGTGTGGCTGAGAGCAGGGCTGGCCACATCCCGTAGTGCGGGGAGGGTGCCAAGGCAGAGGCATGAAGGAGATGCAGCTTTAATGGCATTTGTCGATGTTTACAACATGAGTCATCCAGCTAAGCAGCCGTAAATCAGCACCCCAACTCCCCCGGCATCAGTCGTGTCCCCTCCTCGGTCCCCCCAGCACTGGACGAGTGCCTGGCTCCTGCAGAAACAATCTCATAAATAACAGCAACTAAACAAACCCTCCTGCAGCCACGGAGGGCCCGTGTGTGCCAGGCACGAGATGAACGCCTCCCATCCATCACTTTAATGGTTGTACTCTGGAAATTAAACCTGTCACAGCCCATCAAGGTGAACGTTTTAAGTCTGTGACATCCCTTCAGCTCCCCTCCTCCTTCCTGGCACTCTTTTTTTTGTTGCTTTCTGTCTCTCCTTTTCCTTTCTGCTCCTGCCATCCCTGTCCCCGCCATCTCACCCCCACCTCGGTGTGCCCAGCTCCAGCCTGTGGTCCTCTCCGTACTCCCCCACTGCCCGAGGGCCAGGTTGTACATCAGGTGGTAGTTGTCTTTGGCCCTGAGGCTCCTGCAGCCATGGGCTGGCATCTGCCAGCATCCCCCTGCCCAGTCCTGTGTGCCTGCTGGGGGGGGGGCCACAGCTCCCCTGGGGAAACGGGTCTCTCCTGCCCCACTGTCCCCACAGGGCAATGGCAGGGAATTGGGTACCATCCTTTCCTACTTCCCCCTCCCCTCCTCCTTTTCTTCCCTGTCTTTTTTCTCCCCTTCCGCAGATTTATTCCTCTTCTGTTCTGTGTTATGCCAATCATCGCAGGCTCCTGGCACCTGGCCCCTGCCCTGGCTCACATCTCTCCCCTTGGAGCAAGGGCTGCACCCTCCCCAGGACCAGAGCTCCCCCCCGGGCAGTGCCAGAGGCCCGGACACCTCCTGCGTGGGCAGCCGAGCCCTGCCGTGCCCTGGGATGGGTTGCCTGGGGACAGGGGACCTGGGCACCGGGGATGCCCCAC